ATCACAGATGCTGTAATTTAAGACCCCCAGCTATAGAGCTTTCATATTAGCTGCTGATCTATTACTGTAAATCGTCTGAAATAATCAACTCCAGGGAGTGGGGCAGAGAGAAATGCTCGCTCTAAAATATCATCGCTTGCACATCATTTTCACTTGAGAAATGATTTATCTTGGACACCGCCATAAACAACACAACTCTCTCACAAACACACACACACACACACAATGGCAGCCGCACCGCTGCTGACATGCTTATTGTAATAAATCAAGAAAGGGGGTTTAAAAAAGAGAGAGGGAGAGAGAAAGGTTGTGAGGAGAGAGAGAGAGAGAGAGAGAAGGGAATATTCCTAAAAATATCAATGAAATGCCTCGATGGGTATTAACACACATACCACCATGTGAAGAGAAATGGGAGGAAATGAAGACGGCTATTTGTCACATTTTACGACAATAACATTAATAACAAACAATAAATTTACATGGACATATAGACACGCTAGGAATTGGGAAGACCCTGCTACTCACAACAATCCAACCCTCGGCGTGGCTTCTTTCTTCCTGAGAATTGTTTTATTGCAGACTTTTCTCTCTCTCTCTCTCTCCCTTTCTCTCCCTCTCTCTCTTTTCCCCCCCTCTGCTATAGGCTTGTTTTTTAAAGGACAGTTGAATTTCACGTCAGACACAAGGAGACCATGTCTGCGATGTTCCTGACGAATACATATCTATTCTGCAACCTCTGCATTAATTATTTAATGAATCACGTGATCTGGAAGGGGGGAAGGGGGTCTCTCAGTTTCATACTCAAAGGACCACTGTGACCTTCCACTGGAACAGTGTTCCCCCCCCCAAAAAAAATAAGTTTAGAATTGAATGTAACATTCTAGATCTACAGAGATACTCAGACTACCTAGTTATTTCAATAAACACATATGCATACTTACACAGGCGTGTGAACGTGGGATGAGTGTATGCACACCACACTATACTGTAATATACATACGTCTGTTAAAGGACGCAACGTTAGGGTGTCCACCCCCACTCCCCTCGAAGTTTAGAATATTTAAACACTTTCCCCAAACCCTGATGCCTCTTTGCCCTGCTAGACACATAATGCTTTTCTCCCTGACATTGTATTACAGCCTTCCACTGAGTAGAACAACTGTTTTAGGCTCCAAAGCCCTCTGAGGATATTTATGCTCATGGATCCAGATTTAAAAAAAAAAAGAATTTCCCATTAGGATACAGGGCCAGAGCTTGTGGCTTCTGCTGTTATGGTTTTGTGAGTCTTTATTGCATTTATGAAGTCCGTTTTGGCTCTGAGCTGAGATGCCCCAAAACGGAATCCTGCGAAAGGCTGGCCAACAAAGGAAGCTGTTTATAGTGAATGTACAAGGAGCTGCCTATGGAGCAAATACCAAGTAGGCAAATGCCTCACTGACACACAACAGTGTGCACACGTCTGTATGTATCAACAGACTTACATATGTTTACATAAACACAGGCACACGCATGTACAGACCTAGCTATGGCACTGATTTCCTTCCAGCCCTACAAGGAATCTAAGATTTTTTTTACAAATCTAGCGTAGGTGTGCCGCATCCTTATTTTTCAGGTGCTAAGGATGACTGTCTCACGTCCTCAAACAATAGAACGGATACAATGCATAAGGAGCCACTGAAGATCAAACAATAGGACGGTGGGAGACCTCTAGTAACAAACAAGGTGGAATGCGTTTGAATATAAAGCTCTATTTTTGCAAGCCTCGGAATACCTATAAACATAGATAAAATAAAGATAAGCATGGATGTTTAGCGAGAGTTGTCCGGAGTTTAATAATCCACTCTCTAGGAAAGCAGCTACCTGAAAGAGCACATTTTTAAAACTAATTAATAAAAGGTTAGAACATTCATACCCAACGTTCAATCCAGGCAAAATTTTGAAGTGGCTGTGATAGAGGAAAGGGCTGTTTAAAGCTTGGGGAAATGAACACTGAAGCCAATTGCCCGAAAAAGTATACTTGTTTTCAAAGCATAGACCTTATTGTGCGAAATTGCTTTTTAAAAAAATAAAACCTTCGGCTAAAAATTCTGGGTGAAGGTATAATACCGAGAGGGGGGAACACAGAAAGTGAAAAGTGAATTTATTCAGGGTTTTTTAAAAAATCCTTTCTGTGACATTGTATGGTGATAGAGGAGCTGTTACCAAATAAAGCAAACTTCCTTTATCCGTTGAATTAGATGATTTTTCAATTGGGGACATTATCAGACTAGGAGGGGGGTAAATGGAAAAGCCACACATTTTCCTTCAGTAAAGACCTTTTTTTTAAAAAACCAAACTATCCCGTATCCGAATTTTGCTTGCCAACCTCTCCCCCTCCCTCCCCGCCGCCCCAAAATAAGCAAACAAAAAAGAAAAAAACCCAGCTGCATTTTTTTTTAAGAAGAGCAACTTTCGCTGAAAGTTCAAAGAATAGGAACTGCGGCCATAAACAGCCCCCTCAGCCTCCGAGGTGCGATCATCAAAGAGGCTTTCTTTCGAGAGCTAAAATGAACGTTTATATAGTGAGAAGGGGAGATTGATTTACGAATTTAAACACGCCGTTTTTATTGGAGATCATAAATCTGTCAGGGGGAAGGTGCTCACGCTGAGAAACTCCCAAACTGCTCTCCCCAGCGAGATCCTCACTCAGAGAGGAACATTTGAAGGAAACCGAACACGGCAACAAGGTGTCGATACACCTATAATATAGAAATATTCCGGGTGTGTGTTTGGAAGTATTTTTATATTATACAGAGACAATCTCGCGCGTTGTATTTTAATATATATATTATATAATTTGCTCTGGCTTCCAAATAAATAAATCTCAGATCGTAGTGGCAATTAGACAAGCTATTCCAGTTGGTTTGATGCAATAGACTTTTGGTCCGGCTTCGATTTCAGGACGCCGGCGAAGCGAACAAAGAAGTGCATGGGACAGAAAGGGCACACCTTTCAGACTCATGCTGATTAAAAATATTTACATTCTTCTATCAGGAACTAGGTCGGAAGAGTAAAAACCTAAGAGCGATGACTCGAGACATCAGGTGTCATAGAGAGATCTAAACGGAGACTCCAAAAGACACCCGGGCTCTCTATGACTGGGTCTCTGGCTTTAGTACAGCGAGGTCGGGAGACGGCTACCAAATGTCTGACGGAGCACGTCACTCCAAAAGGAGTGGTTCATCCTTCGCCGTTTAGAATGTCTCATACCCCCGGAGTGGCTGTGTAAACGCTGCTCCGTGTCAATATAAGTGTTCGTCGCTACCAGGACTAAGGGCCGTCGCGAGACCCAGGAGAAGGCCACAATTTTAAAAGGAGCGAGGTGGTTTCAACAACACGCACCGATAAACACCCTTACCGCCTGCCCTCCTGTAGCCCCCCCTCCCCTCCCAACCACCACCATCAAAAAGAAATCCCTGGCTGCATCAGCAAATATCACACCCCTTTAGCAGATACAGACGAGCTGTGAAGGGCTTTTGAGAGTGTTGTGGGCTAGGAGCGGGGGGTGGGGGTGGGGAGGAGACCCTTCGAAACAAAGGATTTTCTGGAAAGGAGAAGATCGCTAAGGTTTGAGGGAAAAGTGAGAGGCGTTTGGCTGGGGTAGTGTAGGGGTCCTTTTTTGAAAGCCTTCCTGAGAGGTAACAAAACAAAACAAAACAAAACAAAACAAAACAAACCCAAGTGGCCGAGCCAGCCCAAAGATCTTTCCCCTTGCACTGATCGCAAGCTTCCCGACTCTAAAAAATCAACTGCCCTTTGTCTGTTACACTGGAGACCCTCGGTGCTTTGAGTTGAAACCCAAAGCCAAGAAGATAAACAATGCATCGTGACCAGATTTGAATATAGAATGACTAAGACACTAAAAGCCAACCAAACACACACACACAAAATCCGATCGTCCTGGGACGCCTTTCATCTGCATTCCCCGCGATGGCCCAGCAATGGCAACATTAAGAAACAACCATGAACACGAGTGGTTTAAAAGATTCTTTCCGGAGGTGCAAAGTTTGCCTTAGCCCTGTCCAGTTCGACGCTGGAAATGTTACACAGCACAATGTCCAGTCTTGGAAAGGTCAAGGGGTTTGAGAGGTCAGTCCTTGGCTATAATACTCAGCTAATCGGTTAGAAAACGTGTCCTCTGGGTGAACCCTATACGCGATCTGTGCTCGGCAGCTCAGAATTTTGCCTCAATTTATTTGTTTATTTTGCCTTTCAGTCTCCCCAGTAAAATGCAGAAAGTCTTGAAACGTACAGCAATCAGACAAGCCCGGCTCACCCAAACACAGTCTATAAAGGCCAACACTTTCCACAAAACAACTCTTCTAACCAGAAACGAGAAACCCCAAAGTCTGATTTGGCTAAAGGAGTCGAACACTGTTATTCCTCAAAGGAACATCTGACACACTAAAAAAGAAATCATCTACCAGCTTGATCTTTCCCTAGTCACACGTGACGTTTGTACAAAGCCTTTTAACTTAGGTTTCAACGCTTCAAGAAGGCAAAATAGAACATGGAGGAATATAATTTGAAATAGCAAAGCTGCCTTGGTCACAAAAAGGTTAATCTCTTAGCTATCTGCTTTTCCTCTGTATTCCATTAGATAAAAGAGTTATCCTAGCAAAGCCAAGCTGTATAGGATTCACACCATAACATGGAAAAATACGGGTTTTTAGCCATCCTCTTTATATGTAATCTGTTTGATATCTTTCTTTTCTCTCCCCCCCTCAGACAAAATAAAATGAGGAAACCGAGGGAAATCCCGTAAAAGATTCATGTGTCCCCCCCCAAAAAAAACTTACTCTTGAAAAGAGGCAATAAAACGATCAAAAATGCATGTCAAGCAGTCGGTTCTTTTACCTTGTGCATTCCCACATCCTTTTTCCAACGCCCCATAGACGGTATTCATGGTTTGAGTGGATTCTTCCCAAGTGAGAGGAGTTGTTTGTTTCGTTTTGTTTTCCAAAAAAAAAAAAAAGTTTTCAACTTTATGATCCAGATTTTTTTATTGTTATTATTCCCCTTGAAGATTTTTGTAGGACTCCGGGTACTTTTTTCCCAACAGACGGTCTGCGGAGATTTGCTGTTGAATAACAATGGGGAAAGGATAAGTATTTAAAGAAAAGAAGTGATTAATGATTTTCTGTATAATTCTCGCATTTTTCTTGGCTTCTGTCTGCTTATAATGGCTGTGAACTTTTAGGTCCTATAGAAATCTTCTTTTCTCCCCCTTCAATTCTATTCATACTTTCCAGCTTTGATTTTGTTCTATAGAAGTTGCATTCCTAACAGCATATGCTTTTTAAGAACTGTTTTGGTACCCTTAAGAGCATAGCTTCTATCTGAAAATTGCATCGCCTTTACATAGGAAGCAGATCAAAGGGGGGGGAAATCAGCCATCAAAATAAATGCAGTCCCCACCACCCCTCGTCGAAATAAAAACTCTGAAGGTTTGCTCTTTTTGCCTTTAAAGGGGCAAAAGTTAATCAAATACATACACAACTCCATTTTTTCCAACACAAGACGTGTAGCGGCTCTGTATCACATGACCATATAAATATTTCTTACAAACTGTTACAAAGTCAATAGAATAAAAGACGTAATGGACGATTTATTGAGATGGGGGAGGAAGGGACAACTTTTGAATGCAGTTTATTTGCAAGGTCTGAGTTAAAATTGCTAAGTACCCTAAGAACAGAAATAGCCATTCAACCACTTTAAATATTCCAAGCCAGGTCTTTGTTCTTAATAACGTTGTGGGGTATTTTAATCATTACTTAGAGAAATTAATAAAATCTCATAAATAAGCGAAAACCTTTTTCTTATAGGGAATGATTCAGAACATGATGATTTTCTTTGTATGGTCTAGAGGCCTCCTTCCCCCAACCCCACCCCCTTTAAAAAAAATTGTAACTTAGAACTGGAATGTTATTTCGCCCTGAACAGTATTTTCGATACTTTCTATGAGCAAGAAAATGAAAATTAATACAAGAGCTGTGGCTCACAAAAGAAGCCATTTGTCTTCTTGATTATCTATTTGCTTGTCAGGGTTTGAGCTATTGCAGTAGCCAGCTCCTTTGTAATATAAAAATACACAGAAAACCTGCAAACACCGAGAAACATCTGTGCAAAAATTATACTCATTAATGCATTAAATACCTTGGAGAAGGAGATTTTTTAAAATGAAGTAGCCTGTCCTGAGGAATACACCGCTGCTTTAATTCCTTAATACAATGTAGCGCTTTAATGACCAACACTGTTGAAACCAGTTTGTGAACATATCATGCAACCATATTAATATGTGCTTAGAATAAATAAATCACAATATGTAAGGCTGAGCAGTACTTAAGGCTGAGATACCCTATAGTCAAACATATTTTGTTTTCATTAGCGAGGTGTAATTGACAGAAATCCTTATAAAACTAACACATTTTCAATTAAAAAACACTTATTTTTTTAAACACACACGGCTTATAGTCACAACGAAAATTTTATTTCTATTTGCTTTAATTCTGCTATGTACAAGTTATCATGAATATCACAAAGAACAATAGGAGGTAATTCAAATGAACAACTGGAAGGGGGAAACCAAGATCCCAAAAGTTCTTTGAAATCACATCAGCTCGGAATGTCAAGTACTATAGAACATGGAAAAAAAATCTGTACGAAGTTCATAACCCCTTTTCCATCAAGAAAGAAGGGGATCCCCACCTTCCATTTTTTATTCATATGCTCAGTACAAAAATGGACTGAAACTTAGTGGAGAAGCAAAGAACCCTCCCTCCCCACACCGCCTTTGACGAAGGTTTAAATTCAGGTGGCATTATTTGATCATCAAGTTTCTAAACTAAATACGTTGCCCCCCCTCCAGATTTACAAGTGAGGTAATTAACCTGCTGGACTCAAAAATGGCAGGGGGTTTCTTACATAAGTCTCCATTATTTTGGTCTCCTTCCCAACCCCCCACCCCAAATTTCACTCGGTTTGTTTTAAATTGTGCCAATCTCTTCTTTCTCCATCTGTATGACCCTGATCATTACAATACTCAACATCTATTCTGGCCCCCCGGTCCTCATACCGTATGGAGTAAGGGTCGTTGTTGTTTGTTTGTTTTTGGTCTATAGGGCTGTGTTACAGTTGCCAGAACTGCTGTGCCCTTGGGGATCTGAATAGAAACTTTCGCTTTGTGGCTGGTAGGCAGCAAAAGAAAAGAAACGAAAATTCAGTTTCTCTCGAAGAAACTGTGCCTCATTTATTAAAGTGAACACTGGTTGTCGAGGTAATCGCAAGCATAAGGTCCATCCTTTGTACGGGAGAGTAAACATGACAAATGGGGCAGAGTTTGGCGTGATTAAAGATGAAACAAGGATTCATCTTAGCCAAATTTGAAAACTACTATCTACAGCCTTCTTTTAATGGGAGAGAGCACAAAAGCACATCTCTGTTGTTTGTTTGTTTGTTTGTTTTGTAGCTGAGTTTCCCTCCTTTATAAATAAAGAGTATGCCCCCTTTACGCCCCTGGGAACATAAAAAAATTATCATGTGTCTCCTACACACACACACACACACATACACACACACACACACACACACTCACACACACAAGAAACAATTATAGGCCGGTGGCTGGTACATTGGCTCGGTTCTGAGAACCTCCTTGTATCTGCAGGCTTGCAGAAGCGTTGGAAGAATTAGACCTGATCTTGGTATTTGGTAATTTATTATCTTTTTTCCACTTCATCCTCCTGTTCTGGAACCATATTTTGATCTGGCGCTCGGACAGGCAAAGAGAATGGGCAATTTCTACTCTGCGCCTCCGCGTGAGATAGCGATTATAGTGGAATTCTTTCTCCAGTTCCAGGACTTGCTGCCTGGTATAAGCTGTCCGGGAGCGCTTCGGTTCCCCTCCTGTGCAACTGGGGTTTACTGAACAAACACAAAGGAGGGAGTGGGGGGAGAAGAGAAAAAAAGAATTACTGAGCTGCCCCTTTAAATTTTTTTAAGTGTCACACACTGTTTTGCTGGGAGACTACTCGAAGCAGAAAGATGCACCACGATCTTCCAGAAATATACACGTAACCCATCTCCAACCCCCTCACTCCAGCCTGATTGCATGACGTACATCCATGTCTAGATGTGTTTTAAACTTCCCTAGATATATTTTACAACATACTCTCCTTGATAACATAGATGGTGCAATTATAGTTTATATATATACACCATCTATGCTCCTTAAAATCCATAAAATCCCCCCCCTACACACACCCTCTCTTTTTAATAACACGTCAAAAAAAAGTGAGAGGAAAAATAGTAAAAGTTTACTCAACCCACCACTTAAATACAAATTACAAAAACATAAAACGTAACTTATGAAGATTCAACAGCCATAAAAAAGTAGCCTGCAAGAAATTGGAGGAGGATGGTAACAGAGACTTCAAAGGCACTTGGCCAAGTAGAGCCATAAAAATTTATGGAGGATGTAATTATACTGCTCTGCAAACAGGCGATCGTAAATCTCCACGAATGGTTATTTTACAACTGGTGCAATAGGCTTTCCACAAGACTTTGAGGTGCTAGTTAGTATAAAGCAAAAGCCACTTTAGTTCACTTACCCGTGTTTACATGGACTTTTTTCATCCAGGGATAAACTACTGGCTCTTTGCAAGAAGAATTAGATGGGCTTTGGTTCATAGAGTTTTGGCTACAGGAGGGTGGAGGAGGGCTGGGGGTGACCGACTCACAGTGGTGATTTGGCTCTGAGAGGTGGCTCTGAAGTCCGGCAGAAGGATGAACATGATCCCTGGGGGAGAGCACCGCTGGCTGGTGGCCGGAGCCCTGACAAGCTGGGTAGGGCGGCTCGTTGCAGGCTGACCGTGGCTGGTACATCGCCTCATGTTGGAAAGTGGTCTCTCGCCTCTGGCTGCTGTAATATCCCGGAGAGTGATTGGGAAGGTAATCATTCTGAGAATATTCTTCGCAGGGTGGGAACTTGGGATCCACATAGTTGGAGTTGATCAAAAACGAACTCATGGCCATTAATTTCTTTGATTTGCACACACACACACACACACAAAAAAAATACTAAAATTTATTCCTATCCCCCCCTACTCGTTTTCCTGTTTCGTAAAACCCTCCTACAGACTGTCAAGTGAACAAAGTTAGGAATCCATGTGACACCGGCGGCCAATGGCGAGGTTCCCTGCGATTCCCGGATAAGGAAATATCCTCACACAGGGGCATTCTTACTCCTGTAGGATTTTTTTTTTTAATCACCAATATTTACATATTTTCAGCCAGGGTGAAATTTCGTGCCCCTGCACAATGCTACTTACCCAGATTAGCATCTCGAGCTGTAAACCTCTAATGTCACCACTTAACCCCTCGTGATAACAAATCCCCACTCCCTTCAGTAGGTGTGTCTTGGCTTAGTTGTGTGTTACGGGGGGGGGGGGGGGAAAAGATTATTTTCAGGAATTGGGGGGGGGGGGGGGGAAGTCCGCTCCGGATCAAAATGAATGCCCTGGCAGATGATACATTGAGATCCCTCTGGCTGGTGTTTAAATTTCGTTCTTAATGTAGGTGATATGAAGCGGTTTGAGTAGCGACTCTGCGCTGAGATACTGGCAGAGATAAATAGGGCTTGTTTTGGATCGATAGAAAATTCATCAGCTAATTCGGGGTACCGAGGCTCCTAAATCACATTTAGCTTCGGTATTCGATTGACCATTTTCCAGCCATGGGTGGAAGAGACAGCCCTTCCTCTGAACACGAAATAAAGGGCTTTATGGACAATTAAAGATAAAATTAACTAGTCTCAGTGCTGCTCCCTTCTCCCCCATTGTAATAAACATGATTAAAAAAGCAACATTTGGACGGGTGTTTAAAATCGAAGCACCTAATAATCCCTTCATAAAAATCAGGAAACAGGGCGGCGTTTGGCTGGAGTATTTATACCTAGTGTAATTTAAGCAATTATACAGATTAAAGCACCAGCGTTTTTCTCCTGCATTTCAGTGACGTAATACTTCTGACACCCATTGCAGCTCAGATTTTTATTAGAACAAGGTGATGAAGTTTACCACAGGAGTACTAGAGTTGGGAGTTTAGGTAAATACCCAAATATTTCTTTTCGGTTATAAAAACCATCTTCTGGCCAAGGCTTCTTTTCATCCTTTTATTTAGTTTTTTTTCTTCAGGGAGAATGACTGTAGTGTTTGTGTCAACTACATATTCCCCTAGATACGAATTTGTGACACAACTTCCTTTACACAAATTCGGATCTACAGGGTACATATAGAAGACAGATGCATCTTTCTTGGTCAGAAATCTTCTAACTTCACTTAACTGTAATAATTCTCTTCGATTTAATTTATTAGTAGTATTATTATTGTTCATACAAGAGCTTTGCTGCTAAAAGAATTAATCTATGAATAAATATGGTTAAAAATTTCCACTTTCCAGAGGAAAAACAAATAATGAATTTCACCCATTCGAAATACAGAGCTAGTAATTGTTCGGCTATAAAAGTAATACAGTACGTGCCTACCTATTCATTGATACACTGAACATTAGTTTAGCATTATGTTCCAAAAAATAGTCCTGGACTATATCTAAAAGCATAAGTAGAGTCCCAAATTATCATTCATTTCAAATTTAAATGTAATAGTTAATTTTCACTCCAAATGTGGTCGTTTCAATATCATCCACTGATCAACAGAGACAAACATTTCAGAATTTTTTTTTTTTGAGTTTCTGAAGGTCATCCAAAGTTTTTTTTGTTATAAAAGTAAATGACGGGGTGGGGGGGAAGAGAAACAGATGAAAATAAATACAGAATATAAAGGCAGATGGGACGATATTCTTTTTTTTTATGACAGGCAATTCTTTTTATAACCCGAGAAAAAGATCAAAGGAGTTTCATTTCCGAAAGCAATAAAATATTCATACTGTCTAGCTAATGAACCTTCATTCGGAACGAATGAGAATAGCATCATGTTGAGACTTCGTTTAAAATTCCAGTAGCTCCAGAGATTAAAAGTATAACACGCTCCTCCACCCCAACCCCACCAAAAAAAATCAGAAGGGAGCAACACACGTTTTTGTTTGACTATCTCCGATTTAATCGTATTTTAACAGCACTCAGTCACAGACGATGCCATAAAGATGCTACATTTCCCCCTTCATTGGCTGGAAATACTGTTTTCCCCCTGCCCTCAAATCGAAATATATTTCAAATAGCACTGCTTAAAAAAAAAAAAAAGACCTTCTAAGGCAGAGAATGAATGAACACCGCTTGTTTGGGACACATCATGCGTTAAGATTTTCCGGCTGCTTAAAGGTGAGTCGACTGTATCGCTCGCAATATCTATCGCCCAGGTAAGACAATCGAGAGCACTTCTCAACGAGAACTGGTAAAATCTACCCTTTGCAGGCTCCCAAGCGTCTAACACTCACAAAAAGTTTCTTGCACACCAAGCAGATCTCGGGGGTTGCTTTATAATGCCTTTCACACAAGACAAGGATGTCCCAAGTCTGCATAAATGCCCCCGAACCCCTCAAGTGTACCGGGGAACAGACAGTGACTCAGAAATAGACCGCCTTCTATTCAGTGTGCTATAATTAAATAAGAATCCAAATAAAATATGCTAGAACAAAGTAAAGACTGAAACTATAATAAACCAATTCTAGCAAAACAGTCCACTCGGACTCCACTTTTGTATTTTGATCCCGTCTGCCTCTGCGTCCTTTTGTTAATTTCCCCCAACAGCAGCAATACCCTAACCAACACCGGTAAATCCTATACCTTAAACATAAACAGCTAGGTAGGGCCTATTCTGGATTGATACCCCCCTCCCTTACAGCCCCCTCCCCAAAACATCCCGTTTTAATTTTCCTTTGCAATGACAAAGGGGTTTTAGCAGCACCAGCACCCCTAGTGTTTGCCAGAAATCTTTTTTTTTTCCTCCAGAAGTCTCACATCACAGCTTCAGATCCCGAATTAAAAAGAAAACGATACTGCCCTGTACTCCCCCCAGCCCCAACACACACACACACACACACACACACACCCCTGCACTTTTTTTCACACTTTCTATTCCGCTCATAAAAACGTCGAACGTTTCGGAAGTTTAGAAAGATAGATCTAGCTAATGTTCTCTCTCCATTTCAAAGGGGGGAAGCCGCTTAGCCGCCATCCAAACCTACCTCTCTCCCTTTCGACTGTTAGCAGGGTCGGCTGCCGTCTCGCTGTTTATTTATATTATACAATAAAAGGAAAGCAGGCGGGAGGAACCAATAAGACTATAAAAACGGCTCCGAGAGAAGGAGCTTAAGAGGAGAGGATCGCTGAAGTGATGAGACACCTGCCAAGGCAAAATCCCCCCAAATGCATCCTTAATTCCCTGCCTAAACAGCCTCTTTTCTGACCCACTCCTATCAATAGCCTCCTACCTTGAAAAAAAAAATGATCAAGAAGACATCTAGAATTGTATCCGATCTCTCCTCCCCCCTCCCGCACACCACTTGTCCCCCTGATTGCATCAGGGGCTTTTCTTACCTTTCAGTTCTACAGGTTGAGTGCATGACCTCTGAAAGCGACCCCTTTTCCTGCCCATTCCCGCTCTCTCTAGGTGCAACGCCAAAAAAAAAGCAACAATACATACCTTTAAAAAAATAAAAGCTCCCCCTCCCCCCCAGTCCCCAGCTCAAAACAATCTCCTATAGCACTCGAGGAAGCTCCCACAAAAGTTCGTAAAGCTTTTCGGGCACAAAACAAACAAATAAAAGAACCCCCAACCCAAGAGCCGAGTTCCTCTCTGCTATCTTCCCCCTGAAGAGGGATTATTTCTCGATAAGAACCCCTCTTTCGCCCCCCCCCGCCTCCCCCAGCATACACCACTATTGTCTTTAAAGACAAACAAAAAACTGCTACTGGCAGGGAGCAAGCGATAGGCCCTTCTGAGTATTTTGGGTTTGGAAACCCGCAAGTTTTCGTATTAATCTCATACTTTGTCAGTCTTTGTTAAACAGCTAGGCGTGTCCCGAGTCCCTTGAACATTTTAATATTTGTTAGACGCTCTGACCTGAGTTTCACCCCACTCCGGGGGCCGCTCCCACTGGTCTATAATACGCTTGCATAGTTCTCTCGGTCATATTGAATTTTACCCAGGTCATTACTTTGGAGAAAAATGGCAGGGCAAAGAATTTTATTCAGACCTTTCCTCGATTGCTTGAAATTCCAAGTGAGCTTAGTGCACATCGTTTTGTTTGTAAATTTCCCTTTGAAGATTTTTTTTTGAAGGAGTCCTAGTCATCCAATAATTATGACTGCCAGTCCTGCTTTCTTTGCAATCGAAAGCATCAACGTTTTGGTGTCTCGTAGTAAGCAGGGACTTCCTCTACATAACACGAAGCCTGAGATGATTCTATAGGTTGGGACTAGATCACAGTTAAAAATTAATAATAAAAAAATCGGGTGAATGTAAGTTTAGATGGAAAACAGGTCACCCCAGTTTTTCCTCTCTAAGCAAACGATTCATAGAAGGTTTGAATCGTCTGTTTTCTGATCGACTGTGCGTATCACTTTATTTTAAACGCTTTACAAAAATTTACAAAGATCTGTACTTGAAAGAAGGAACTGCAACATTCCCCCCCCCCATCCTTTAAATACCCAAATGATAGGTGTAGTATGCATTACTAAGGGGATAAAGGTTAATAATCTCTAGGATATCTGAGTCATATAGGCTACATATTTTTTTTTAAAGCCGCCTGCAGGGAGTTTACAGATCTATCTATCTATCTATCTATCTATCTATCTATGTATCTATCTATCTATCTATCGTTAATACACACACACACACACACACACACACACACACACACAATGTAGCATCGTGCTTGTTCCGGTGATAGAACAAGTAATTTGAAAAGTAAATTGGGATTAGAAGCACCTTTAATCTATTGTTTGTGAAGAAATCACATTCTTTAATTTTATTTCGACTGCTTTTATGTTATATACAAATCCACGCACTCAGACACGGAGGAACGGGGGAAAACAAGGTAGATAAACTAGAAATATCCTTGCAAATAATATGTTCATTTCGTCTCCTCGGTTTTTTTTTGTTTTGTTTGGTTTGGTTTGGTTTGGTTTTTTTAAAAAAACTTGTTACTTCAAGTGAATCTTCCAGAGAACCGTAGAGATTTGCATTCCTAAACTGAAAGTTAAACGTTGTTATTATTATTAGGATGGCC